TCAAGTACTTCCCAAACTTTGGGCGGCTGTCCGGATGGCTTGATACGCTCCATATTACTNATCATTTGTTTTAAATTTGCATCGCTTTCTCAGTTCATTTTCCGCATAAACGTTCGTGTCGGATGACATTTGAATCAAACGTCATGNAAACNAAATATTCTCAACATTATACCGCAGCTGTTAAGTGAAGCAACGTACCNTGTAAACATGTCACGTTACACGAGCAAGATAGATATAGCTACATGAAGTCTACACGATTACGCGAGCTCAACTCTAAATTATTATTGACTTGACACAAGTACTACTCTAAAGAATATAATTGAACAATATAATTAAATTTAATTGTTTTTTTGGTAACGTGTCGAATTGAAAGATCAAAACTTAGTTCGTTGGCAAATCCACTATATTACATACTTACGTTACCACAACAATAACATACGTATTATATGACAAATAGCATGTAAACATTCAACCATAACAGAAGACATGTAGACAAAATATAAGACATTGCGTGGAAAAGCGTGTAATCATTACGTAAAACGCATATTGACAATTTTATAAACAGATTATATGTATTAACCGGGAGGAATTTTGGCGTATTTGCGCTTTAATCGCACGTAACACAACGAAATGTCACAAATTATAGTTTTGATCTTATCTGCTGTCTGTAAGCTTTTACATACATACAAAACAATTAATAATTAAAATAAATAGTTTTATCCGTAACAGGCGTAAATTTACTTACGTGTGAGTACGCTTCTGTGTGAGTTAATGTGTGTTAATATATGGCGGAACTCAATTGCACACTTGTCTACTGGTTGTAAATTTATAAAACTTTCGCGCGGTTATATATGTAATTCGCGTGTGCGATCTGTTCACTGAACGGCTTGCGTCGGCCAATTGGCGTGAATTCTGTATCAACTACGATGTTTTATTTTCAATGTTTCGCAGCACACATGTGTTGAAGCAAGGTAATCTTGTGAAAATAGTAAAAATAATGTTATTGTCTTCTCTCGTTATTTTGTTTGATATACGAATTTTTCTTTTTGAATATTTTGATTAAATTCGGCATTGTCTTACCCACACAACACAAGTGACTGATTGTTGACTTATAGTCGACCTTTTTCAGTTAACTTATAGTCAACTTTTAAGTTTGACTTTGTGACTTGTAGCCGACGACTTAAAGTTGACTTTCGAAAGTCGACTATAAATTGACTAGAGTCACCTATTTGCCGACAATTAGATGGCTTTTAAAAGGTAAATGAACCATAATTATTGTCGACTTAAACATAATTGCATTTAATCAGCATGGTGTTGAAGGCTCCAAACATCCAAGATAAACACGGTAATATGACAAGGGCAATGGGAGCACGAACACTGTTGTTTGTGTGTTGAACATTTATTGAATATATAGAGTGTACAAACTGTTGACCCCACAAACAACAGTGTTCGTGCTCCCATTGGTCTTGTCACATTACTGTGTTTATCTTGGATAATTGTATTTGTCATCGCGCTAACATATATATTTATTCATTTGTGTATATCTGACGCCTCCAGTCTCATTAAATGTCAATTAATCATTGTGATCATTGCGTCGTTGTTTTTTAAATATATTTTGAGAGTATTGAAAATTATATAATAATATACTATTCGTCGATGTAAAATTACCTTAAATTCGACTTTTCAACGGTTGATTATAAGTCGACGGCAGTGTTTACAGTTCTTGAGACGCTTACAGCATGCAGCAGCGTGAAGAGGATACGCACAACACCAGCAAGCATGCTGTACTCAAGCGCTTAAGAGGATGCTGAACCGCTGGCAAAAGTTCGCTCAGCTGCTATTCAACCGCTATGCTATCGAGTAGGTGGTGTCATCTCTTGGGACCGAATCAAACCAAAACAAAGATAGGATAAGAGAGCCAAGGAAAGACATTTGTTTCTCTCCGACGCTTCTGCTAAAATTGTACTTGGAATTTTTCTTGTCTCACAAGGCATCAAAATCTTTTTTGAAGCACTCAAAATATTCGTTCTATGTTTAGTTTGGGATAAAGGTATTTTTATTTGGATTTATATGGCCCATTTTGCATATAAAGTAAAAATACAGTTTTTGTAATAACAGTATATAAACTTTTTTTTGTTTTTTTTAAAGTTTTATGCTTTCTCTCATTCTTTACTATATTTTTTTTATTTCTGGAGAAGCATTTTTTATTCCGATTCATAGTTTTCACAAAAAGTTCTAAATACGACATGAGGGTAAAACAGGACGTTTGAGCATCCTTTTAAGAGAGTACTTGGATACCGACTATAAATATATGTAAATCGACGTTTAATTATTTGATTTTTGTGTCGTTTTTACTGCATTAAATCCAAACTACTTTTCCAAAATTAAGTAAATCGTTCTAAGAAAGTGCGCTTGTTCTTTAGAATTTCGAAATTCAGGATAAATTTTTTCTCTTATACAGTTTTCTTCTATAACCTCACTTTATATTCATGTATGTAAAATTATTTCTAAGCTTCTGTAGGTATTTACACTGAACTGACACAAAGTACGACAAAAAAGAACATAATGACACTCAGATTATGATTTGACTACTTAAGAGGGGCCTGGACCGTCCTGTTATTACCGATCGAAATAATTCGTATTTAGAGGTGTTTTTCGTAAGTATTGCTTGGATAGAAAAACGGCTCTACAGAATTAAAGAAAATAATAAAATGTGTTTCGGAGACTTTTTAATATATCAAAAATGTAACAAAAATGTTTGATTTACAATTAACATCAAAATTTTTTGTCACATTTTTGGTATATTGAAAAGTTTCCGAAATACATTTTATTATTTTCTTTAATTCTGTATAGCCGTTTTTCTATCCGAGCAATAATTACGAAAAACACCTCTAAATACGAATTATTTCGATCGGTAATAACAGGACGGCCCAGGCCCCTCTTAAATAATACTATTGTGATGAAACAAAATAAGTTATCATATGCTATCCTTATAAATAAAAAAAGAGTTTAAACGAGTATTTTATCTCATTTTCAAAAGCAATATTTAGTTACTTATATTTATGTCCTTCTGTAGAAGCATTTTTCATGTGATGCAGTACACAAAAGTAGAAATTAGAGAAAAGTAAGTTTGTAAACCGTCGATTTATAGGTCTGCATAGTCGGTATCGAGGACCCTCTTAATAATGTGACCACTGATTGATTTAATAGTTATTATTTGATATCTCTGTAGCATAGCAAATGTACTTAAAATTTAAAGTTACGCAAAAATTGTAAGTTTATATTAAAGTTTATTATTTAGACAAGTTAATAACTGTGTAATTCATGATATTTCAACTTATTTTTCTCTGGGATAATTTGTAATTTTTTTAAACACATTTATTGTGCTACTCTGAATAACCAAAATTTTTTCTTATAGGACGTCTCAGCTAACCAAAATTGACAAATTAAATAACTGAGTATTCTTTATAGTAACTTACGTTACTACTTAAATTACTATAAATAATAACGTAAGGTACTAATATAAAGAATAACGTAATATAAATACTATAAATAATACCGTAAGTTACTAAGGTATTTATAGTAACTTAAGTTATACTATACTAAATAATACTCAGCTATGTGATAGTTACATTACACTTTTTTTACTTTATCGGGCAATGATGTCTGTAAGATATTTTGTACTTGTGCAGTGTGCCATACGTTAACAAAAAGATAGAACGTTACCTATCTAGATACTAACTATTTAATTGGTTGAGCTAGTAATACTCGAGTTAGAGTTAACTTTTAGTCGACATATACTCGTCTTAAAGTCATCTTATAATCGACTCGTACTCGACCTTTAGTTAACTCAAAGTCTACTTCTAGGCAATTTTAAATCAACTTACAGTCTACTATTAATCACCTCGGACAGTCGACTATTTTTCGGACATTCGGATTTCGTCATCTTTTAGTCGACTATAAATCAAGAGACTGACTTTAAAGTCGACTCTTGACTTCTCCAGTCGACTTATAGTCAACTTTTAGTTAACTTTGTGTTGTTTTGATTATCAGTAATACACCACATGAACGGATGTGGCATAATTATCACTTATTGTTATAGAACATGTTAATAAAACGTAATAAAAACGTTATTAGAAACCTTATATGTATATGGCAAAATAAAATATACACATGAATGTATATGTGTGTGTCCGTGTACACATATTAGTTATTTTTTTTTGTGTTTTTTTAGTTTTTGTATAAAAAATTATTACGTAACGGGATACTCACGCGTACACGTATTTTTATAGGACACGCCTATAATCTTTTTCTGTGTTACAAGATTACAGAAGTTATTATTCAAAATCTACATGTATAAAGAGAGAAAAAAAAGTACATATGAAACATATAATAATTGCGTTTATGTGTATTATATACTTTCTCTATCTCTCTTTTATGTTTAGTAATGAATATACACACATAGCGAGTAAGTATGACAATTGTGTAATGACAGATGATATTGCGATTATACACTTTGTGCGATATTTCTGTTTAATAATTAGAATTGGTAAAAACACACTTTATACGCTTAGCCCGCACGACCTATGTGACACGGAATACATATATTAACTCATACTGATAATGAAGCGAGTTGGGATAATCGTAAAGTTATCCGCGTCTTATCAACGCGTACGTAAACATTTTGCTCTTCTTATGCAAATTGATTTTTATTACTGCTGTTTTAAAAAAACCTCATGACTTTGTTCTTCAATGATAATATCTTTATTTTATAATACTTTCAGATATGATTGTTAATAAGGGTTGAATAGCAACCCTATATATTGTTAAGAACAATACAACACTGTTTCCGAACAAAGTACTATCAAAATGTGTTTTCGAATCAAAATAAAGTAAAAGGTGCTTGTTCATTGATGTGCGTGTACATAAAACATACTTGGTCTGAATGTACAAACAAAGTGGTTGTGGTCATACTGATGATGCTTTATTGAGTAGAAACATTTGTAAAAACTGTAAAACACACATACACAAGTAACATCGAAAAGCTAAATTATGCGACTTACTGAGAGTAAAGCTGCAACAATTAAACCGTTTGAAATCGTTGCGTTACAAAGAAAAATAATTCCAAACGCAAGAAGCGATACACCTAATAACAAATAATACTTGTCACGCACGTTCATAATGGTAAAACACGTCACGTTACATTATTTCACATAAACGCGTAAATTTACAATATGAGTTTGAAAAGTTGCTACTTTTTAAACTATTTTGTCGTCAATCTCTCAATATTATTAAAAATATTCTCTTTTATTGTCGAAATGGTTTATATTAAAATTTTTTATCATGTATTATTTTGTGCGTACAGTTAAAGCAATCTTTTTCCCATAACTTTTAGTACGTGAGATTTAACACCAGGAAAACGTTCTTCTCCGTTTTCGTCGACAATGTCGGTGAACTTTTTCTCCTGGAATACCTCGAATCCCGCGTTCGCCGCTGAGTTTTGCGAGATTATCGACGTGAACACCGTAGACGTTGCCGGGATATTGTATTCGCGACCGACGTGGTTCCTATATCAAAATGTAATCGACGCAAAGTTTGATAATTATTGACATATAAAAAATTACATATAAATGTCTCTAGAAGCGAAAAGGTGGATTGTTTTCTACAAGAAAAGTTATGCAGCTCTTTTTATGTAGTTTTAAACCATACAATTGCAACAAAAGAAAGCAATCTACTACGTGTATTGTCAACACGTTAAATTAAAGCGCTTGAGATACATACCTGATTTTTAGAATATCCGTGCCTAATCCGTATCCTCGAAACTCCGGTGTTACGATGAGTCCAGTAGCGTACAGATACTTGTCTATTCCGTAACGATTGTACACTATGTCGGAGAAATCCGTGAATCTAAATTTATTTTGGCGTTTTTCCGGTGAACACTGCAATAATATTTCTTTTTATTCACTTATAATTGGTACTCTTACACTGACAACATAACAGTTATGATACTGCATATGTTAAAATTTTTTCTGTTGGCGCGCGTGTTACTAAAAGTAGAACAATCATCTCAAAAAACTTAGATGATTGACGCATGATTGTTTTACATACTGACGTAAAACTGTCGTAAACAATTTATATACTGTGTACATCGAGCATCTATTGCACACAGATAACTAATTGGCGTAGTTACATTACAAAAGAGTTGATTGAAACAACACGACAAGCGATACAATATGTGGCCACGGCTATAGTTAACGGATTGCTATAATTGTTGTTTGAACATCTACGCTTGCTCGTTAATTACTGTTTATCGCGTATATCTGTAAATGTGCAATCGGTTAAATATATAAATACTATTACAGAAAACTAACATATTAGATACCTTGAAATTTGAAATGGCGTCTTTTTTCTCTTTGTACTCAATAATAAGTACGTTCATACCCGCGAGTATGGGTTTTCCGCCATCGGGATTGTCGGTGAACGCTGCTACAGATATACCTAGCGAAAGCGATTGACGCCACGTTGTACAGATGGCCTTTACGAATGCGGGATTATTTTTGACATCTGTGAAAATGAAAAATAGCAAAACACAAAGCGCAATATACCAATATAAACGCAAATAATTATACTTATTGTAATTGTATAACATTATTTCATTTCCGAATATATTTCTTCTGAGATCTGAGGTAAATTTCATAATAATTAGGTAAGAATTTAGATACCAAGTAAATACGAAATTAAAGATAATTGTGGTTTTAATAATTATATATATTATTTACAAAGTAGCAAATAAATAAGGTCGCATCGAGCCAATAAAAGGATGTTAATATAATAGAATAAATAATTTTTGAACACGCTTTACATAAAAAATTAATTATTATTTAGTTTTGCGATGTATGTTGAGTTTAAAATTTACTAGTAAAAGTTACTTGCGTAAATAATATTAAACAAATAAAAAAACTCTCTTCCAAATGAAACTTACTCAAACACGCGCAGACCGGTTCGTCAGCCAAGAAGTATGTGCACATATGTTGAACAGCTTCCTCGTATCTGTCCTCAGGAATCTCTTGAATCGTGAATTTTTTCCGTTTTCCGTCCTTACCTATTTTTTCAAGTACTTCCCAAACTTTGGGCGGCTGTCCGGATGGCTTGATACGCTCCATATTACTNATCATTTGTTTTAAATTTGCATCGCTTTCTCAGTTCATTTTCCGCATAAACGTTTGTGTCGGATGACATTTGAATCAAACGTCATGAAAACGAAATATTCTCAACATTATACCGCAGCTGTTAAGTGAAGCAACGTACCATGTAAACATGTCACGTTACACGAGCAAGATAGATATAGCTACATGAAGTCTACACGATTACGCGAGCTCAACTCTAAATTATTATTGACTTGACACAAGTACTATACTCTAAAGAATATAATTGAACAATATAATTAAGTTTAATTGTTTTTTTTATTTTTTTTTTTTGGTAACGTGTCGAATTGAAAGATCAAAGCTGAGTTTGTTGGCAAATCCAATATATTACATACTTACGTTACAATAACAATAACATACGTAATATATGACAAATAGCATGTAAACATTCAACAATAACAGAAGACATGTAGACAAAATATAAGACATTGTATGGAGGAGCGTGTAAATTGCACGTAAAACGCGTATTTAAAATTTTATAAACAGATTATATGTATTAGCCGCGCGGAATTCTGGCGTATTTGCGCTTTAATTGCACGTAACACAACGAAATGTCACAAATTATAGTTTCGATCTTATCTGCTGTCTGTAAGCTTTTACATACATACAAAACGATTAATAAGTAAAAGAAATAGTTTTATCTGTAACAGGCGTAAATTTACTTACGTGTGAGTACGCTTCTGTGTGAGTTAATGTGTGTTAATATATGGCGGAACTCAATTGCACAATTGTCTACTGGTTGTAAATTTATAAAACTTTTGCGCGGTTATATATGTAATGCGCGTGTGCGATCTGTTCACTGAACGGCTTGCGTCGGCCAATTGGCATGAATTCTGTATCAACTACGATGTTTTATTTCAATGTTTCGCAGCACACATGTGTTGGAGCAAGGTAATCTTGTCAAAATAGTAAAAATAATGTTATTGTCTTCTCTCGTTATCTTGTTTGATATACGAATTTTTCTTTTTCATTATTTCGATTAAATTCGGCATTGTCTTACCCACACAACACGAGTGACTGATTGTCGACTTATAGTCGACCTTTTTCAGTCAAGTTATAGGTAACTTTTAAGTTTGACTTTGTGACTTTTAGCAGACGACTTAAAGTTGACTTTCGAAAATCGAGTATAAATTGACTAGAGTCACCTATTTGCCGACAATTAGATGGTTTTTAAAGGGTAAATTAAATATAATTATTGTCGACTTAAACATAATTGCATTTAATCAGCATGGTGATGAAGGCTCCAAATATCCAAGATAAACACAGTAATATCACAAGGCCAATGGGAGCACGAACACTGTTGTTTGTGTGTTGAAAATTTATTGAATATATAGAGTGTACAAACGTTTCACCACACAAACAACATTGTTCGTGCTCTTATTGGTCTTGTCACATTAGTCTTGTAACATATATATTTATGCATTTGTGTATATCTGACGCCTCCAGTCTCATTAAATGTCAATTAATCATTGTGATCATTGCGTCGGTTGTTTTTTAAGTATATTTTAAGAGTATTGAAAATTATATAATAATATACTTATCTCTCTCGTCGATTTAAAGTTACCTTACAGTCGACTTTTCAACGGTTGATTATAAGTCGACGCCAGTGTTTACAGTTTTTTAGACGCTTACAGCATGCGGCAGCGTGAAGAGGATGCGCACAACACGAGCAAGCATGCTGTAAGCGCTTAAGAGGATGCTGAATCGCTGGCAAAAGTTCGCTCAGCTGCTACTCAACCGCTATGCTATCGAGTAGGTGGCGCCTTCTCTCAGGACCAAATCCAACCAAAACAAGGATAGATGACATGAGAGTGCCAAGGATAGACATATGGTTCTCTCTGACCAGAGATGCCAAATCGCGCCGGACAGCATCGAGAGTATCGAAGCAGGGTATCCCCACCGCCTCGATGTTGTCGTACGCATACAAGCGAGAACCGCACACGGACGCTGTTTTCGCTTGTATGCGTATGAGAGCATCGAAGGCGGTGGGGATACCCCGCTTCGATACTCTCGATGCTGTCCGGCGCGATCTGGCATCTCTGTCTCTGACGCTTCTGCTAAAATTGTACTAATCGTACTTGGAATTTTTCTTGTCTCACAAGGCTTCAAAATTTTTTTTGAAGCACTCAAAATATTCGTCTATGTTTCTAGTTTGGGATAAAAATATTTTTATTTGGATTTATATGGCCCATTTTGCATATAAAGTAAAAATGTGGTTTCTGTAATAACAGTATATAAATTTTTTTTTGTTTTTCTTAAAGTTTTATGCTTTATCTCATTCTTTACTATATTTTCTTTATATCTGGAGAAGCATGTTTTCTTCCGATTCATAGGTTTCACAAAAAGTTCTAAATACGACATGAGGGTAAAACAGGAAAGTTCAACATTCTTTTAAGAGAGTACTTGGATACCGATTATAAATACCTGTAAAGCGACGTTTAATTATTTGATTTTGTGTCGTATTTACTGCATTAAATCCAAAATACTTCTTCAACATTAAGTAAATTGTTCTAAGTGCGCTTGTTCTTTAAAATGTCAAAATTCCGGATAAATTTTTTCCCTTATACAGTTTTCTTCTATAACCTTACTATATATTCATGTAAAATTATTTCAAAGCTTCTGTACGTATTTACAATGAATTCTGTACGTATTTACACTGAACTGACACTAACGGCCGATTTCTTCATACCTCTCGATATATATATATAGCTATATATATATATAGCTATCCTCTGGATAAATTCCTCTGAGAACCAATAAGGAGAACCAATTTTGAGAGATATCTTCTAGATAAAGTTATCAAAAACTTATCTAGAAGTGAAAAAAGATGCTGTAAGTACGACACAAAAGAACATAGTGACACTCAGATTATGATGTAACTACTTAATTAATGAGATAAATAATAATATTGTGGTGACAAAATGAGTTATTATATGCTATCATTATGAATAAAAAAAGAGTTCAAAAGAATATTATATCTCATTTTCAAAAGCACTATGTAGTTTTTTATATTTATGTCCTTCTGAAGAAGCATTTTTTATGTAATGCAGTACACAAAAGTAGATATTAGAGAAATTTAAGTTTCTAAATTGTCGAGTTATAGGTTTTCATAGTCGGTATCGAGTACCCTCTTAATAATGTGAACACTGATTGATTTACTAGTTATTATTTGATATCTCTGTGTAGCACAGCAAATGTATTTAAAATTCCAAGTTACGCAAAAAGTGTAAGTTCATATTAAACATTATTATTTAGACAAGTTAATAACTGTGTAATTCGTGATATTTCAACTTATTTTTCTCTGGGATAATTTGTAATTTTTTTAAACACATTTATTGTGCTACTTTGAATAACCAAAATTGATTATTATAAGACGTCCCAGCTAACCAAAATTGACAAATCAAATAACAGAGTATTTTTTATAGTAACTTACTTTACTACTTAATCAAGTCTTAATTGTTACTACTTAAGTTACTATAAATAATATATAACGTAAGTTACTAAGTTCTTTATAGTAATTTAAGTTACTATACTAATTAATACTCAGCTATGTGATAGTTACATTCCACTTTTTTTACTTTATCGAGCAATGATGTCTGTAAGATATTTTGTAGTTATGCAGTGTGCCATACGTTAACAAAAAGATAGAACGTTACCTATCTAGACAATAATTTATCTAGACAACTATTTAATTGGTTGAACTAGTAATACTCGAGTTATAGTTAACTCTTAGTCGACATGTACTCGTCTTAAAGTCACCTTATATTCGACTTGTAGTCGATCTCTAGTTAACTCAACATCTACTTCTAGTCAATTTTAAATCAACTTACAGTCGACTAATAGTCAACTCGGACAGTCGACTATTTTTCGAACATTCGTCATCTTTTAGTCGACTATAAGTCAACATACAGACTGACTTAAAAGTCGACTCTTGAGTTCTCCAGTCGACTTATAGTCAACTTTTAGTTGACTTCGTGTTGTTTGGATTATCAGTAAGGTATACACCACATGGACAGATGTGGCATAATTATCACTTATTGTTATAAAACATGTTAACAAAACGTAATGAAAACGTTATATTAGAAACATTATATGTATATGGTAAAATAAAATATACACATGAATATATGTGTGTGTCTGAGTACACATATTAGATATTTTGTGTTTGTTTGTTTTTTGTATAAAAAATTATTCCGTAACCAGATACTCACACGTACACGTATTTTATAGGACACGCCTATAATCTTTTCCTGTGTTACAAGATTACAGAAGTTATTATTCAAAATCTACATGCATAAAGAAAGAAAAAAAAGTACATATGAAACATATAATAATTGCGCTTATGTGTATTATATACTTTCTTTCTCTCTTTTTTATGTGTAGTAATGAATATACACACATAGCGAGTAAGTATGACGATTGTGTAATGACAGATGATATTGCGATTATACTTTGCGCGATATTTCTGTTTAATACTTGGAAATGTTAAAAATAGAATGTATACGCTTAGCCCGCACGACCTATGTGACACGGAATACGTATATTAACTCATACTGATAGTGAAGCGAATTAGGTTAATCGTAAATTTATCCGCGTCTTATCAACGCGTACGTAAGCATTTTGCTCTTCTTATGCAAAATGATTTTTATTATTGCTTTTAAAAAAATTCATGACTGTGTTCTTCAATGATAATATCTTTATTTTATAATATTTTCAGACATGGTTTTTAATAAGTTTTTGAATATCAAAAATATAGATTGTAAAGAACAATACAACACTGTTTCCGGACGAGATACTATCCAAATTTGTTTTCGAATCAAAATGAAGTAAAAGGTGCTTGTTCATTGATGTGCGTGTACATAAAACATACTTGGTCTGAGTGTACAAACAAAGTATTGCTGGTCATACTGATGATGCTTTATTGAGTAGAAACATTTGTGAAAACTATAAAACACACACACATACACAAGTAATATCGAAATGGTAAATTATGCGACTTACTGAGAGTAAAGCTGCAACAGTTAAACCGTTTGAAAGCGTTGCGTTACAGAAAAATATAATTCTAAACGCTAGAGGCGATACAAATAATAACAAATAATACTTGTCACGCACGTTCATAATGGTAAAACACGTCACGTTACATTATTTCACGTAAGCGCGTAAATTTACAATATGAGTTTGAAAAGTTGGAACTATTTCGTCGTCGATCTCAATATTATTAAAAATATTTTCTTTTATTGTCGAAATGTTTTATATTAACATTTTTTACCATGTATTATTTTGTGCGTGGATTTAAGGCAATCTTTTTCCCATAACTTTCATTATGTCAGATTTAATACCAGGAAAATATTCTTTTCCGTTTTTGTCGACAATGTCGGTGAACTTTTTCTCCAGGAATACCTCGAATCCCGCGTTCGCCGCTGATTTTTGCGAGAATATCGACGTGAACACCGTAGACGTTGCCGGTAGATTGTATTCGCGACCGACGTGGTTCCTATATCAAAATGTAATCGACGCGGGGTTTGAATATTATTCACATTTAAACAATTACATATAAAAATCTTTAGAAGCGAGAAGGTGGATTGTTTTCTATAAGAAAAATTATGCAGCTCTTTTTATGTAGTTTTAAACCATACAATTGCAACAAAAGAAAACAATCTACTACGTGTATTGTGCCAACACGTTAAATAAGCGCTTGAGATAAATACCTGATTTTTAGAATATCCGTGCCTAATCCGTATCCTCGAAACTCCGGTGTTACGCTGAGTCCAACAGCGTACAGATACTTGTCTATTCCGTAACGATCGTACACTATTTTAGTTATGTCCATGACTTTGAATGTATTTTGGCATTTTTCCGATGAAAACTGCAATAATAATTACTTTTATTTACTTATAATCGATAATTCTACACTGATAACTTAACAGTATGATAATGCATATGTCAAAATTTTTTCTGTTGGCGCGCGTGTTACTAAAAGTAAAACAATCATTTTAAGAAACTTAGATGATTGACGTATAGCGAATTATGTTACATGCTGACATAAAAATGTCGTAGATAATTTATTTACTGTGTACACTGTGCATCTATTGCACACAGATAACTAATTGGCGTAGTTACATTAGAAAAGAGTTAATTGTTACAACAAGCTAAGCGATACAGTATGTGGCTACGGCTATAGTTAATGGATTGCTATAATTGTTGTTTGAACACCTACGCTTGCTCGGTAATTAATGTTTATCGCGCATATCTTTAAATGTGCAATCGGTAAAATATATAAATACTTTTGCAGAAAAGTAACAGATTAGATACCTTGAAGTTTGAGATGGCGTCTTTTTTCTCTTTGTAACTAACTCCAAGTGCGTTCATGCCCGCGAGTATAGGTTTTCCGCCGTCGGGATTGTCGGTGAACGCTCCTACAGATATACCTTGCGACATCAAGAGATGCCATATTGTACCGGTGTCCTTTACGAATGCGGGATCATTTGCGGCGTCTGTGAGAATGAAAAATAGCAAAACACAAAGCGCAATATACTAATATAAACGCAAATAATTATACTTGTTGTAATTTTTAAAAATTATTTTATTTCAGAAAATTTATTTCTTCTGAAATCTGAGGTAAATTTCATAATAATTAGGTAACAATTTTGATACCAAGTAAATATCAAGTTAAAGATAATTGTGGTTTTAATAATTATATTATCTATTATATAACATAAAAATAATAATAATTAGTATAACACAAAAATAATAATAATTATTATTATTTTTGTGTTAAAATTTGAACTAAAATTTAATAGTAAAAATGATTTGCGTAAATAATATTAACCAAATAAAAAAACTCTCTTCGAAACAAAACTTACTCGAACACGCGCAGGTCGGTTCGTCAGCCAAGAAGTGTGTGCACATATGTTGAACAGCTTCCTCGTATCTGTCCTCAGGAATTTCTTGAATCGTGAATTTTTTCCGTTTCCCGTCCTTACCTATTTTTTCAAGTACTTCCCAAACTTTGGGCGGCTGTCCGGATGGCCTGATGCGCTCCATACTACTCATCATTTGTTTCAAATTTGCATCCCTTTCCCAGTTCATTTTCTGCATAAACGTTCGTGTCGGATGGCATTTGAACCAAACGTCATGGAAACGAAATATTCTCAACATTATACTGCAGCTGTTAAACGAAGCAACGTACTACGTAAACATCTCACGTTACACGAGCAAGATGAATATAGCTACATGAAGGCTACACAATTACGCGAGCTCAACTCAAAATTATTATTAACTTGACACAAGTTCTACTCTAAACAATGTAAGTGAACAATATAAATAAATTTAATTGTTTTTTTGTTAACGTGTCTAATTGAAAGATCAAAGCTGAGTTCGTTGGCAAAGTATAAATATATTACATACTTACGTTACAATAACAATAACATATGTAATATATGACAAATAGCATGTAAACATTCAACAATAACAAAAGACATGTAGACAAAATATAAGACATTGCATGGAAAAGCGTGTAAATTGCACATAAAACGCATATTTAAAATTTTATGAACAGATTATATGCATTAGCCGCGGGGAAGTCTGGCGTATTTGCTCTTTAATCGCACGTAACACAATGAAATGTCACATATTACAGTTTCGATCTTATCTGCTGTCTGTAAGCTTTTACATACACACAAAGTGATTAATAATTAAAAAAAAATAGTTTTATCCGTAACAGACGTAAATTTACTTACGTGTGAGTTACGCTCTTGTGTGAGTTAATGTGTGTTAATATATGGCTCGACACAATCGCACAATTGTCTCCTACAATAGTTGTAATTTTGTATGAAAATTTCGCGCGGTTATATATGTAATAATACGCCCGTGCGGCCGGCGGTGATCTGTTCACTGGACGGCCTGCGTCAGTCGAATGGCGTGAATTCCCTACCAGTTACGATAATTATCGTTGTTTCGCAGCACACATGTGCAGGATGTGAGCAAGGCAATCTTGTCGAAATAGTGAAAATAGTGTTATCGTCTTCTCTCGTTATCTCGTTTGATACACGAATTTTTCTTTTTCATTATTTTGATTAAACTCGACCGTGTCTTATCAGTACTCCACCGCATGGACGGATGCGGCATAATTATCAATTATTGTTGTAGAACATGTTAATAAAACGCAATGAAAATATTATTAGAAACGTTGTATGTATATGGCAAAATAAAATATACACAGTAATGTATATGTGTGTGTCCGTGTACACATAGTAGTTAGTTTGTGTTTGTTTGTTTTTTATATAAAAAATTGTTACATAACCAGATACTCGCGCGTACACGTGTTTTTATTGGACACGCCTATAATCTTTATCTGTGTTAGAAGATTACAAGATGTTATTATTATTATTTAAAATCTAAATGTAAAGAGAGAAAAAGAAAGTACATATGAAACATAATTGCGCTTATGTGTGTATTACATACTTTCTTTCTTTCTCTCTCTTTTTCTTTCTGTCTTTTATGTGTAGTAATGACAATACACAAAGAGCGAGTAAATATGTTAATTATGTATTGACAAATGATATCTCGCGATTACACTTTGCGCAATACTTCTCTTTGATCCTTGGAAATTGTAAAAAAGAAGTTATATACGCAAGTCCGCACCATCTACATGACACGGAATATATTAACTCGCATCGATAGTAAAGCGAGTAGTTGGAGAAATCGCAAACTTATCTGCGTCTTATCAACGCGTACGTACGTATTTATAGCTTCTTTTTTGCAAACTGATTATTTATTACTGCAGCTTTAAAAAAACTCGTGGCACTTTGTTCTTTACTGATAATATCATTATTTGATAATATTTTTAGAAATGATTTTCGATAAGTTTTTGAATGGCAAAAAATAGATCGTGAAGAACGATACAACACTCGTTTCGAACGAGTTACTATCTAAATCCATCTTCGAATCAAAGTAAAGCGAAAGACGCTTGTTTATTGATATGCGCATGTGTATATAGAACATACTTGTTCTGATAGTGTTTCAATGTACAATGTGTGCAAGTCATAATAACGTTGCTTTATTGAGTTTAAAAACCTGTTAAACACACATGCACAAGTAACACCGAGAGGAAATAAATTATGCGATTCACTGAGAGCGAAGTCGCAACAAACTAAATCGTTTAAAAGCGTTGCCGACAGATAGATATATAAATCCAAACACAAGAGACAACGATGAGAAGATAAACAGAATCTATTTTATTTGTGACAACGACTTTAATACAGTAAAACAAAAACAAACAATGGAATTGTTGCTTAATAAATTGAATCGGATGTGCACGCTGAAACATTGCTACACGAATGATATTAGAGACAATTGATGTTGCCTTGACTGAAAATTACTGAAAGTAAGTACTCAATTAAAATATAAACATAGCGATGCTTTGGAAAGTAGAATTTTTTTTTTTTTTTTTTTTATTGTCTTTTACGTGCGGAAACTAGAATGAGAGAGAAACAGCTGGTATTTTTAGATAAAAAGTTTTATCGTTCTCTTTGTTTAGTTTATCATCTCTCTCTTCTTTTACTTGTAAAATGATTTTTAAGGTTTTGAACAAAATGATTATTTTCTTCCGTAGCTTTCTGTTATTTTTTTAACACACTGTATTAATAAATCAATCATTGGATCAAAAGAATATCATACCGAGAATATGATACATTACTTATACATCGTATTATATCTTGATTATGTTGTGCTTCTTACCGCAATCTCAAGAGTAGAAAAACAGTTACAGAGATGTTTAATGATAATCTTATCTCGTTATTTTTCTCGACAATTTTATACACGTATATATCGTCACTCCCTACGTATAATTACATAAGTGTCACATATGGGATTTTCAGTTTATTGCATAGTGACACTCAGAAAGTCACGTTCTTTGTGGTCACCAAGTATTAAAAAAAAATATTCATAAGTATGGTAAAAATTTAAAACCGAAAGATCTCTTAACTAGGGAAACTATATGAAGCTTCAAACTTTTAAACTGTTCTCTTCTAAAATTTGCGTTTTGGAGTTACGGGATTATACGTAGGGAGTGACGATATATTATTAATTATTAATATCCAGGTGTACGTAGTGCGAGTTGTTACTTGCTGTTAATATCTTCAAATAAGATCTTTACTTCCGTCGCTCTGTTTTTTTTTTTTTTTATTAACTAGATTAATATAGAGAGATAACATAGTTTAGAAAAGAGTTCAATAAAAACATAACTATATCAACAATTATCTTAAGTTGCGATAAAAAATCGTACTTACCATCGATCTAAAAAAAACTCGTATAAACACAGGCGGGGAGATATAAATAATTCTTACATTAAAAAATCTAGAATTTGTTTGCATAAACAAAAGTTTTTATATTTATCGCAAGAATTAAAAAATATTACAATGCACCAACAAATCTATATATCTTTGCGGGGGAAATAAAATTACGCACACATACATACGTACACATAACGTATTTATTATCATCATAATTTGTTTTACACTTTTTATCTCAGTTTTTTTTCTCCTCAAAATATGAATCATACGTATCTATCTTATTCCAAGTGCAAAAGGTGTGACAACAAAACGTCGTGATTTCTGCGTTTTATTAGTTCTCGCGAAGACCGACGTCGCCACTATCAAATCGGACTTGCAGCTCAGAGTATCGAGCAGCTTTAATAATGTTACAATCTTCTTGCTATAAATTGTATTCTTATTCTATTGTATTTCATATGTTTTTACGTCAGTGTTAAATCTGTGTTAAAGTCGTAAGCATCAGAAGAATTTAATTTAAACTCTTCAAGCTGTCCCGCTAGTTTATTAGCTATTTTTTCTGAAAATTAAGTATATAATATATGTATATATATATATATATAAACAACTATTTGTTTGTTATTTTCATACCTTTTCTCACTCGATCTTTTTTCTCTCTCTTAAACTGAAGCTTCCTGAGTTTGTTCAATTTTTGATTGCCTTCAATTTCAAAAAGAGGGTCCAATTTTTTTTTTCTATCCACAGAGTTTCCTGATTTTGCACTTTTTGTTTTCTTCTTCGATTTTTGCACTTCAAATTCCTGCGTGATAACATATCGATCGAGTGTTGCACAGACACGCAATGTTCTTAGATAAAATTTCCCAAACATTTAGGTTTGCACATCTTACCGTTTGATTTTTCGTATCGACCTCCATTGCCGCTGTAACAGGTTCCGAATTCTCGATCAATACAGGATCCGTAGTTACTCTCCTATACGGATCGGTAGTGTCATTCGCAGACTCTGCGGCACAATTGTCGAGCATCATTTTTTCTTCCGCTGCAAAACTCGCGAAGTCAAATTCTTTTCCCATCTCACTCACAATCTCGGCAGAGATATGCTCACATGCTGGTTGTTCTGGAGGTTTTGTGTAATATCTGCAAAAAACGTTTATGAATTGATAATTCAAGAAAATTCAAAGTTCCAATTTCGTGGTGAAAAGTGTTTAAAATGTTCAAAAACAAACCTAATCTTTCCGGAGTTCCAATCGTCAAGAACGCTACGTGCAGCGGCAAGCAAATCGGGAACTCCGCCTTTTCTGAATTTTCCCATTCTTGTTGCCTTGATTGCAAAAAACTCATCCGGTGTTGAAAACTCCGGCATGTTGTACAATTCCATCAATTGCTGTCGCGAAACTCGTTTTAGAATAGCGCTTGCCGGCGTGAAGGGATCCTTCACTGCTTGAATCTTAACCGCATTTTTCAGAGCTACAGACGTATCATCCGAGTTTCCCTCTGAACTAGCGAACACTATACCGGGACAATCTAACAATTTTATCTTCGAATCTAACTGAACAGCCTGCATTGCTTTTGTTACTCCTAAAAATTAAAAAAAAAAAAACAATTCTCGTTACTTCCGAAAATACACGATAAAAATTATATGTATACAAAAACATAAATTACAAATTACCTGGTAAATTACCCACATTACACGCTTTGCTACGCTTCAAAGAATTAATAACGCTGGATTTGCCTACATTTGGAAGTCCGACAACACCCACTCTGATACTGGTTTTTATATTGCCACTTATATCACTGTTCCTGCAATAATTTCCAAGCAGTGACATGAGCAATTCCGCGCCAAAACAGGTGCTGTTCTGTATCATGGATTCTGTTTTCGATTCCAACTTTCTTCTGCCTAATCGCTTTGATTGTTTCTGCGTGGAAGATTTGAACGCGATAGCGGGCAAACTACCTCTCAAGTACTTCAACCATTCGTCTAAATTTTCTCTGGGAACCAAGTCTGCTTTGTTCAAGACAAGTACCAATCTTTTGTTTCCTTTTGCGGATCGAACTACTTCTTCCACCTGTAAGAAATGACTCGTTACGTGACACATTTTCACATCTGACAGCAGCTTACAAAACCTCACCTCTTTGCAACGTGTTCCCAGTGGATCGCGAGCGTCTACCACTTCTAAAATAACATCGGCTGCGTCTACAACTTTTTTGAATTCTTTGTAATACGCCTTAAGTGAATGTTCTTCCTTGACACCAGATTTTGTTTTATGTTCGGCAGAATCTACTTTCGTGGATTTATGTTTCAACTGCTTGTTCTCAGCTTGATTAACCAAACCTTCTAGACCATTCTTAGCAAGTTCCGCACGTTCCGCACGTTTTTTCTCACGAGCAGCTTCTCTCCGCTTTTGTCTTTCTTCTTCTTGATGTTTTTTGAGTGCTTCTACTTCTTTCAGTATATTTTCCTTAAAAGGACACTGATTTGGCACTTGAATCATCTTAGGTTTTTCTAAAAATAAAGATTGTATTTATACATGTATATTTACGTAAGTAATTTGTTGAATGTATAAGAACAATATTGTAAAGCGAATACTGAAACTTTTTACTTTTAGCATTTTCCCTGGCTTGCTTCTTCATTTTTCTATTGTGTTCACGAACTCTCTTCTCAATTTTGTATCTTTTGCGAGCTGGCATACGTTTAGTTTGTTTATCTACACAAAAATAAATATAGTAACATATAGAAAAAAAAACAGTTGTTTTTATTTTATAAAGTGTAACTGTTATGTGCGCTAATCTTAAATAAATGATACCGATGAAAACTTTTGTGCAATATTCACATAACGTTTCGTTGTTTAAAACTACAAGTAAAAATACCACCAACGAAAAGAGTTTTTTATCTCGAAATGTACATAACCTAGATGTTGTCTAATTTCTCTTATCACGTACAGTAAAAAAACTGAGTTCGGAATACAATAATATATACTCACTGCGAATCTTCATCTTTGATGAGTAATTATCTCACTACTTTAATAAAGTAGAATATTTCTCTATACAAACAACGAGCAAATAACAAAATTAGAAAACCACGTGCGAACCACAACTGGCAAAAAAAACGCAGAATGTGGCGCACCGGCGGCACATGTCAAGATCAGACGAGGCAATTTTCGTCGCATGCGCAGTAGCAGCCACTAAACTTTGGCTGCTTTCGGCTAGATAGCGCGCAACGTCCGAACGCAACAATGTAATATTACCCTAATGTGCAGCTAATTACAGGAGAGAGAAGGAGATAAGACTATCGTGCGATCTTTTTCTCTCTTGTATTAGACACACACACACACACACGCACACGCACACAATTCGATATTTACTCATCACTCTTGACGAATCTTAAATCTTTTAAAACTTGATGATTTATTTAACAAGATCACTGGGGGAGAAATAAAAATTACAAATTGTTTTACACAGTATTCTTTACATTTGTTCTCACGCCAATATCTATCTCGAGAAATTGATCTTTTCGCGGGTCGAATGCGCGCCTGTCGTGTGTGTGTGTCGGCGACAACGACCGGGGCACGGCAATTATCATTTCGAGTGGTGAAAGGCACACGCGCTCTCTTGTATGCATATGAGCATTCTCACACTTTCATCTCGTCAAGACGCGCACATTTTGCGGAGTATATACAGAGACAAGGCCGTCTCTTGAACGGAATAGAAATTCTCGTAAATTATTTTATTTTTTTTTCACGCGTGAAACGATTCACGTTCAACAATTCTCGCGATGCGCGCGCGCGAGAGAGAGTGATACGGTTTCTTTCTAATTGACGCGTTCTCACGTCGCATCGTATATCTCGCAAACATTGCCGTTGATCAATTGCGATTAATTAATTAATCGGCAGGAGTCACAGTCGCGAGTTTTTGTCTCCCGGTGAAAAGTAGGCGAATTAAAATAAAAAAAAAAAAAACACGTCGTCGACCTGAATTTTCACCTCGGGAAGCAAAATTTAACTTTTTCTTTAACTTGCAAAAAACAAAAATTACGGAAATTAATTTTTTAAATTTGCAATTTAAAGTTTTCTCCTCTTTTTACAGTCACGTGTGTAGATAAATTTTTTACAAGTAAATGTTTTTATGTTTAAAAGTTGAATTAGTTTCGCGCAATGTGAAATAAAAGCAGATGACGCTGAAAAAAAGTTGATATATTCTTGTGTTGTAACGATATTTAACGTCATGATAATTTATTTATAAATATTTATTGCGCAAATTTATAATTTTATACACACATATTTTTACAAATCTCACACGATTCGCATATATTAATGTGATTTTCATATATAATTTAGTTCTTCATCTTCGCGCTTCTCTCTTATTGTTTCGTAATCACGTTAATGAAATTCGTTAAATAGCTCATTGTAACAACCATTGTAAAACTCGGCGTAAGACGCAAAAACACTTTCTCTCTCTCAGAGAGTACAAAACTACGTGTTTAACTATGCAAAAATTAAAGATGATCGAAAGTTTATAATTTCACAGAGCGAGTTTTGCCGCGCCGCTTCCTTTTAATTCGAATTGTGTTTTTTGCGCATCGCACAAAAACAAAACCGAAAAAAATTCACGTAAGACGGCGCAAATCGACGCGTATCCACTTTCACATCTCTCTCTCCCGAAGAAGAAGCGTGCCGTAATTCGAAACCGGATTGCGCGAAGTTTGAAACTGGCGCGAAACCTCCCACCGCAATCGATCAATAGATCGACCCCGCGGGGAGGTCGACGTGTAACGAGATTTGAGAGGAGGGAGGAGAGGGAAAGAAACTCTCTTTTGGGTTCTGACTGCGTCCGCGTGTTGGCGTTCGCGCGCTCGCCGCGGCGATTCATTCCCATAATGGCCGCCGTCTCGCGTTGTCAGTGAGTGTGCGGATGCTCGCAGTAGCGACAAGTTGCGTTAACGTCGTCGGGGAAAGCTTGCGAGATAAGCGTGCCGTGAAATTTTCACGCGTGGAAATAAAAATTGCGCGCTAAGCGAGCGGTGACAGTCGGTTTGCGAGCGGTGTACGCGCGCGGTGTTTAGTTTGTGCGTCTCGCGACGGACTCGCGCCGGCAGCGGAGATTTAAAACGGAGCAACCGCACGGTTGGTACATGTAGCGGTGTGCTTACCTCCCCCCCCCTCTCTATCCGTCTCTCTTGCTCCTGTATATCTTCCCCCGTCTCTTTTTCTCCCTTCTCGTCCGTCTGTTTACTCCGAGCATCGACCGTGACGAGTGTCAGCGACTCGGTCCGAAAAATTTGACGGCGCGCGTTCACCTGTTCCTCTCTGTCCTCGGGAAAGCGCAAAAAAAAAAACAAAAACAAACGACGCGCCGATTGTGATACTATGGTACTGCGCTTCTCGCGCGGAGGATGCGCCACTGACGCAACGGCGTCGGCGGGCTCTCTCGCCGCACGGTGCGGATGGTAAACACGTCGTCGGATGACAGTGCGCGCGAGTGAGCATCGCGAAACACGGTGAGTTTTTTTTTCGGCTCGTTTGAGTTCCCTCAACAACGCGAATCAACGGTGTTGACGACGGGGAGAGACAAGCGGAGAAAGCGGACGCGAGCGCGCCCGCACAACAGGCCTCCCGAATTCTTCTTCCTGACGTGGTTCAAGGTCGTCTAAAAACATCCGGACGTCACGAGCGCGAGAGAGAGAGGCAGGCGGCGGCGACGACGCTTTCCACGCGGCGCCGCGCGATAGAGCTGTCAGCAGAGCGGCGGTCTCGTGAGAGAGAGAGAGTGCTTTTCTCTCCCGCTCTTCTCTCGTTTCCCGAGAGAAGTGCACGTCCGAAGAACGCGCGTCCGAAAGTTTCCCTCGGACGTGAGAAGAAAGACGGAAGACACACACACCGAGGGTGTGAGGGCGTCCGACAAAAATCCGATACAACGTAAGTGCATACCGATCGAACGAGTCTCTTTATCTACATTTTATCTATTCTCGATACGTACTGTCATCCTCTCTCTTCCCTTGTCGCAATCAATCGCCCCGTCTCTCAATGTTTTCTCGAGACGGTACTTTCGTACAATCGTTAACGACAGAAGAGGAGATTTTTTATTGATTTTCCCAAAAAAAAAAAAAAAAAAAAAACAGAGATGTCAAAACAGAAATAGTCCGAAGTTGAATGTTTACGTGGTAACTAGTAGAGTTAAAAATAATTATTTCACAATATCGCGCGACATGAGTATTTATATTTTGTCGCGGATTTCGTAACACGCATCTCTTGTGTGGCACACACGAGAAAAAACAATATTTACTAATCACATCGCAACAATTGAAAACAGATCTCGTAAACAGATCTCGCAAAGAGATGTCTCGCTGATGAAATACAATAACATTTTTAGTTTACGCTAAAATTGTGCAAATTGTATTTTGTTATTTGTAGGTCACAAAAAATTGTTGGAAAAGTGTGTGTACAACATCCCGATGTGTGATATCGCGGACACTTTTATTTAACCCTTATTACCCACGTGGGGGTCCGTAAGACCCCAGCATAACCTTGAGCGTACCTTTAAGTAAGTAAAATTCCAAAGCGAGACTTGTTACACCATGTAACTGTTGGTAGTTCGAGTAATAAATGATTTTTTGAATGAAAAAAAGTCGATTTTCTACGATTTTTAAATTCGCGATTTTTTTAAACATATAATAAAAAATTCAAAATCAAAAAATAACATTCTTGATTCAGCATCCTTTAGAGAGTATTGATGATTTTTTTCCACATGAAAAAGTGAATAGAATATCCCGAGTCGAAATTTAGCGTCTACATTGAACCTCAATTTTTGAAAAAAGGAAATTTCGAACGCGTATAGCAGCGTCAAAGTAAATAGCATCTACTTTTTTTCTTACTCCTACTTTGAGCCTATCGGAGCCTATTTTGAGCCTATCAGAGCCTGCAATGCGCAGTCTGATCTGAGAATTAAACCCCACTTTAAAACTTTAGCAGGAAAAAAGAAAAATTGAGGTTCAATGTAGACGCTAAATTTCGACTCGGGTACTTATTTCTAGAACCCTTTAAAAAGCCTGGGATCCAGTGGACCCTCAGTGGTGCTTATGTTACGTGGTTGAAGTATGGGTAACAAAGGTTAAACCGAAATCGGTATAAATATTTGAATAAAGTAAAGGCCGTCACACAAGTAAAATCACTTAAGAACATAACGTCACTCCCTACGTATAATCCCGTAACTCCAAAACGCAAATTTGAGAGGAGAGCAGTTTAAAAGTATAAAGCTTCATATGTTTCCCTATACTTAGGGATCTTTCGGTTTCAAATTTTTACCTTATTTATGAATATTTGTTTTTAATATTTGGTGACCATAAAGAACATGACTTTCTAAGTGTCATTATGCAATAAACTGAAAATCCCATATGTGACACTTATCTAATTATACGTAGGGAGTGACGATAAGATGTAGCCGTAAGAAACTTGACCAAATCAGAAATTTACGTCCAAAATGATTGATGGGGACATAGTATACATTCTTGTTCAAATTTCTTACGGTCACGTCTTATGGTCTTAACTAATTTTATGTGTGATGGCCTTAATCTGATATTTATACACGACGAACGTGAGATTAAAAAACGTAACGTAATAAAAAAAAAAAATTTATATATAGACTAAAAGACAATACAAAGCGAGTGTGAACAGAACAAAGTCAGAAACTCAACGATAAAACTAGCAATAATTATATCTTATCAGTAATTATTTATAATTGCTCAGTTTTTAACGAGAAGTCGTAATTTCGCGCACGATGGTTAATTATATAAACTCGACGCAGAATCGGGAACGTGGATGGTTCGTGAGACTTTTATAAATCTTTGTTGCTCGAATAAAACTTGACTTTACAAATCAAGCATATATATTAGGTCTACCGGAAAGTTCTGTCTGTTTTTGGAATAAAACAAAATACAAATTTTTCTTATCGTCAATAAACTTTATTAAATAATATAATTGTCATTATTATATTAATGATTTCTTGCCGGCGTGAGGGCAATTTGTATATCCCATTTTTAAAAAATTAAGAAAAATTTGTATTTTGTTTTATTCCAAAAAAACGGACCGAACTTTCCGGTAGATCTAATATATAAGACGCTTTTGTAACAAAAATCGCTTCTCGTATCTTTGAGAAGGCATTTCTCAAAGATAAACGTCAAGTCGCACGCGTTCATTCAACGAGAACTCTTGGCTAAGCCAATATGAGGGTGGCACATCACACGTGAATAAAGCTTTCTGTGTATATATATACGTTGACTACATGTTGCAATCTATATGTGACAACGCGGTAAAATTTACGTCACACGTAAAATGCGGCGCATTCAGTCCTTATCGAACACGCTCGGCGACGTGAACATTGACAAACACAGTTGAGTTTAGTTATATATGTTAGATAAAACAACAATTATTGCGAGCGCAAAGTTTTCTAAGCCATTATCTTGTTGCGCGTTAACGCACGCACAATTGTATGCGGGAAACGAGAATTTTAGAATATATACGTGCTTGTATGTATATACAGAAAACAAAAAAAAAAAAAAAACAATATGTTGAACGTAGTAAATAATATGTGAGAGGTTAGTGTGCGCACGTGTCTGTCTTAATATAATATTAATATAATTTTAATATCATTTTATCGCACGTATACACACTTGGTAGCGTATACAAGATCGAATGAAAAAAAAGTCCTTAAACTCGGCACGAGTGTCACGCATATGTGGACAAAAACAAACGGAATCTCTGACGCACGTGGGTGCAAAAAAGACGACATCTTTAACACCGTGACATCACTGAACTTGAAAACCTCGCGATGTATATTTTAAATAATTTCATAAAAGGAAAGTCAAAGGGCCAATAAGAACCTAAACACGGATGTTAGTGTGTGAAAAAATATTAAGGATTTATTGTAACGTATTTATTGTAGGATTTATTGTAATTTATTTATTTGTTTTACAATAAATCCTTTAATATTTTTTCACTAACATCCGTGTTTAGGTTCTTATTGGCCCTTTGACTTTCCTTTTATGAATTTTTTATCAGAGCCTTTTTTGTTCCTTTCTATTTAAATAATTTGAAAAATCGCTGACGCGCGTACGTACACATCACAGACAGTAACTAATTAACTGACTCTTCTCTTTCGACACAGACACAATTTTTAATTTATTCAACTCGTCAGTTTAAATCGATTTGAAAAATAATACGCGGGACAGTTCGGTAAATTTCGCGCTTTTCGTGTTTTGTAGAAAATAAGTTTTAGCATAAATCATTCACTTCTGCCGATGTTTTGATAGATCGATGTGTTCTGCTCGTTATCGTGCGAAGTGACGTTGCGATATAATAAAACGACACGGAGTGTATTGAAGAGCAATTGAAAATTTATTTATTTACTTTTTTATTTTTTTTTTTCCTATTAGTTGCTCGCGATTTCTCTCCGAGAATATCCGAAAGTTTGAAGGAATCTCGACGTCAGAGATCAATCTGATGTTACGTTACGTGATTATCTACCGTGCGCGAGAACGGAAAATCAACTTCAAATTATTCTTGATTTACAACTTCTGGAAACGTTGCCGTGTCATGTTGTTTGCAATTCTTTAAAACGGTGAAAACCCCGTTATCACTTCGCGATTCAGACATCTTATTCCACAAATGCGAGTTTTTTTTCTCTCGTATAAAAAAAAAAACTGTATCAAGTAAATGATAAAATAAAAAAATATTTCAACAATAATTTTCAAATCCGTAAATTAGCTTCCGCGGTTAATTTTGACTTTAAAAAATATTTTGCGAATATACCGCAAAAAATCGTTAGAGAATTTTACAAAAATAAATAACGGTCTATTGTTTTGAACAAAAAATTAACATAAATAATTTGTTTCGAGATATGCTTACATATTTTTTGAAATTCTAATATCTTTTTCAACGCGAGTACTGAATATCGCGTACAACCTCGTCTTATCTTCTTGTTAACGTCAAATGTGTGTCCGAGACACTTCACCAATCATCCTCGTGGAACGCAACTTTATTTCAGGAAGATCTGAATCTGCCCACGACGAGTCGAGGAGAGAGAAATCGTGCCAAGTTCCGGTATACCACGTTCTTCCCTACGTTCTTCGCATCGAATCCATATCCGACGTTATCCTCCAAAACTCATTCGCCGGATTCCGAGGATAACGCTCGCTCGAGGAGTCTACCGACTGTGATTTCAACGCGTGACGCCACTGCCAAAGAGAGGGACACAAACAAACTCACGCGTCGATCGCGAAACTTGTGTGTCTTCGTTTTTTTGCTTCTTCCGCCTTCCGATCTTTCACAGATGACGAGTGTCTTCCACGTTGTGTAGTATCAGAAGCATATACATTGTTACGATTCTTTCGAGTCTTCCGCGAGTCTTCGACGTCCCTTTTTGACCAAATCGAACAAGAAATCGTCTTTTTGATGTAAATTTTCTTCTTCGAAAAAAAAAAAAGAAAAAACATACATTGTCTGGCACGAAGAAGAAGAAGAAGCAAGAGAAAACTATCGATCACGTTCTTCCGTCGATCAAGGCGCTACGTACATCGAATCCTTCGAGAGTGTTTTCTTGATCGAGTCGTGAACGTGATTCGTTGACTATATTATCTTAATCTGGACTGCGGCCAGAGGCGTTGCGCATTGCATCAAGGAGTATTGTACATCTATCACCACCACCACCACCACTACCACCACCACCACCATCACCACCACCACCACCACCATCGGAACATACTCGAGGCATCGTGGTATCATCTGCGCGTTCATTCCCGGTTCGAGCAGCCACCTGTTCGAACGTTTTGTGCGACCGATTGTTTTTTTTTCGCTCGCCGCGGGATACGGCAGGACGACGCCGTGACAACCGTTGGAAGGTTGCGCATCATCATCGGTCCGTCCGCGTGTGATGCGGTGCACGCAGCAAATCCGTTGCTGCTGCTATCGTCTCGCGTCATTTTGCGCGATCGCCTCGTCGCAATAACGGCGAAGATGTTAGGAAAGGTGCCGCCGTCGAACACGCCGGGTCCGCCTAATAATAACGACGGCCAGGTGTCGGCCAAATCGTGCGCCAACAGGTTAACAACAACAACGACGACGACGACGACGACGACGACGACGACGACGACGACGGGCACGACGTCGTGTCTGCCGTCTTGTTTCTCGACAGACGAAACGTCGACGGTGAGCGCCGACGACAAGGCAAGATCTTGGCGTTCGACGAAGACGGACAACGTAAACGACGAATCCGCCGTGGTGGTTTCCGAAGCTCCTTGCAATTCTCTACAATCACACACCGCTAATCTAACGAGCGCGGTGTCAATGATAGAACTTCTCAAACCCTGCAGGACCGACGCGACGATCTGTGCCGCTTCCGTCTGTTCCAAGATCCCGGCAAAAAGTTCTTCCAAGGAATCGTTGTCGCACGTCATTGACAGAAATCATGTCGGCATTACGCAGAAGTGTGGCTCCGGTCAGAACTGCTCGAATTTCCACAAAACATCTGGTAGGTCGCGAAGACCGCAGTCCGGTTCGGTCGCCGGAAGTCTCAACGTCGAGTCGTGCACGAGAGACTGTACAAAAATCTCGAAGAAGATTGTCGTCGCCGGTCGGGAAACTGCGAACGGCAAGGATCATCAGACCGGCAGTCTGTGTAAAATTGTGTGCAACGAGCAGCAGTCCAAGGAGTACGACGTTTCAAGTACGGTCTCCTCAAAGTTATCTTCCACGAAGTCTTCCGAGATAATTCACCACCAACCACCGTCATTGCCGGTCGGAAAGAAATCCGGCAACGAGGACCTTTTGGTGAACACGTGCGCGAGTTTTCCCACGGCGAACAACAACAACGTCCCGGCTGTGAACGATCTGGTTTACGTGCATCAGAAGTCGAGGACAGTTGACGCCAAGGACGGCGGCGCCGGTGATTCCACCGCTTGCGAGGATCACGTTTCCTGCGTCGGCGATTTCGTCACCTCGTCTCTGTCCAAGGATTGGACGATGAGAAGAATGAGCAGCGACGCGCTGCAGAACTGCATGTCCTGTCTGCCGCAGGACTTGCCCACGGAACTGCAACAGTCCTTATCGTCGCCGCGAAGCTACAAGGAGCTCAAGGAGAAGTGCCGTGATACGTGGCGACCCACGGAGATGGCGGAAAGCGGCGCGGTGTACGGACTGTGTTCGTCGGTTGAGACGTTTCAGGATTCGGCCTCGAGAAGACGCACCGGCGCGTCCTGTCAGGCTCTCAGGCACGCCGTCGCCTCGCTTAATCGTCTAGACGACTTTTACATGGAGAAGATCGGCGCGGGCTTCTTCTCGGAGGTGTACAAGGTAAGAGATAGATCCCGACAGAGAACTAAAGTGACAAAATTTGCATGCGAATTATCGATTAAATATTCATGGGATTTAATGCGAAGTTTAATGTGAATACAAATGAGATATATGTTGCACAATATAATAATTCTCGTTATTACATCATGCTTAAAAGCTCTCGATTACATGCAAAATGCATTAATTATTCGTAATTTATAATATTTTTACGCTTACTAGCTTTACCGCAGATGAATTTATTGATATTTATATGGCGTCGCGCAAAAACTTCAATATTGCGTCGCGCAAAAACTTCAAGATGCTGCTTGCAAATTTGTAATAATTTTTTCTCACGGAACGCGATATATTACGCGTACAAAAATTAATAAAACATACATTTCGCACGAACACTTAGCGCATCACGCCGAATAAATCTTCGCTAGTTTGACATTGCACGAGCTTTAAGGTTGTATTCAGGGTAAGATAAAAGATATGCCAGATTATTCAAATTTTGCCAGTCAGTAGATAATATAAAAAAAAAAAAAAAAAACATTGTGCAAAATTTCAGCTCCTTTGCGAATCTTGTTAAAAAGTTCGTACGATTTTAATTTAACACGAGTTCTTATGGGATTTCACGATATTCTGATATAAATTAAAAAATAACTGTAGATGTAGATATGCCCTGTAATTTTGAAATTTTTTGCAGTTGTTAATAAATAAAACAAATTCCACTCGCGAAAAAATAGTTATTTCGAGAATATCACACAAAATATAAATTTATATTTTGCTAAAATTAATAAAAATATATATATTTAATACACATAAAACAATTTATATTTGTAATTGTATACATCAATTGTTACGTTTTAACGAACTTTTAATGATTAATACATTTCCAGTTTTTCATTTATCTTATGTTGCAAGTGGAGTATAATCCTACTCAAAAGTATCACAAAAGTGAACATATTAAAATAGCACAAAATATACGTAAAAACTTTTTTGTAGTCATTAAAAGTATAATAAATAGTTTTTTTTTTAACTTATTTTAATAATACTTTTCCAGCAAACAATTATTATCTAAATATTAAAATAGCTTCGGTTTACGCTATGTTTCTTAAACTTTTGACCGAGATCTTACCCCGAATACAAGCTTAAATTTGTTCGTAAATTTGTTGCATATTTTTATCTCATTTTAAATTTCAATTCTCTCTCTCTCTCTCTCTCAATTATACGGCATTACGTGAAAAAATACAATCTTTCGACTTTAATTCACTTTTATCAACAAATATATATCATCATCTCTCTCGAGCGATCTCACTATGGGCCGGTCGATCTCGTTAAGAACGCTCGTGTGTTAGAAAGTTTTTTTTTTTTTTTCTCCCGGATGGCACGCGTTATTTTCTCTCAATTCCCGCTATTGTGTTCACACAACAACAATCGCGAATTCGAGAGATACGTTCGTATCTCTCGGTCTACGGAATGCGCTATCTTTTCTCGCAGATTAATATCTCGACGTAGATTAGATACGCTTGCCCACGTATATATATTATACTACACACAACGTGTGAGCGCGTATAGCCTCGCGTTAAAATTAATTCCGCTCGTAATCACGCGGTTATTCGTCGGTAACGAGCGATCGGGGATAGTTTTTTTAGTATTCCCGGGCGAAACGATTCCTCGGCGAAACGCACTCGCGCCGCATTAATCCCACACTGCTCGTTCGGATCCGCCTTTTCCTCGATCCTTAAGGCCATTAAGTTTTATCAATTACCCGCAAAAACGAGGAAGTTACGAAAGAAGGATGTTTTTTTTTTTTTTTTTTTTTTTCCAATTCGCGATTCACAGAGCGCGGTTCTCTATTATACGCGAGCGATGTTAATAGTCCGAGAGAGATGCTAATATTCTCCTTCTAAGCTAATGCGAGAACATTAATATTTCATCGCGTAAACCTCGCGGAGATACGCGCGCGCGCGCGCGCGAGAAATTGAAGCGTTCGCAAACACTCGAGAAATTAAAGCGTTTCATAAACACTCGATAAAGTCGCGAGTCGTGAAAAGAACGGGGTTTTTATATTGTGCTTTAAAAACCGTAAAATTCGATCGATCGATTGCTTGCTTGCGGCTTAGTCGCGGAAGGAGAGAATAGAATATTTTTCATCGGAGCAAAAGCAAGTGTGTTTGCCTCTCTCGATGTTACATCGCGAACGCGACAGAGAAGAAAGTATAGACAAACGATAAAAAAAATGTTCCCGCTGCAAATCGTGATTAATTAATTGTAACGATTGAAAAACACACACGGCATTCGTTAAAAATTATAACTTTTCTTTTTCCGCAAAAATGCCATTACACAATTGCGCACTCGTAATTGCGAACGCAAAGAAGATGTCGCGACTTTAAGAACAGTGTCACGGACTTTTACGTAAATCATTGTGTTTATTCGCAAGAAGCGTGTAATTATCGAAGGGTCTCATCCTTGACTTCATTTTTTTTTTCTCGATGATTGCGCGCTCGAAATTTCCTTTACATTTTTCAAACGTAATCCTACCGAGAGATATTTTTTTTCAATTGTTTTCGAATATTTTTTTAAGATTTAAAGATGATTGTATGAAGCTTCAAGAATTTTCAAAGAACAATGAATTTTGGCTATTGAAGCAATAACACTGTTGTTAGAGTGTATACATTTAAATCCGTTTATTAAACAATTAAATTAGCATGAACGCTTTCGACCTTGTATTAGGTCCTTTTCAAATGCATTATAAATTATATTAGATAAAATAGGTCGCTCAATGTTGATCGTGGATATCCACACTAGCCATCCCGACCAACACTTTACAAAGGTGGAAATGCGACTTAGTCGTTCATTGTTCTTTTTAAGATTTGTTTTTTCGGTAAATACATGAAATACATTCAACAGTTGGAAAAAAATATTAAATATTTTTTTTTGTCAGATATGACAATTGCTTTGTTGAAAATCAATTCTTAAAAACACAGAGGGAGAAAACGCGCGACGGACGCGAGAAAATTTGCGGCCCTCAAAAATTCGAACGGAAATTTCGCAAACGCGAAACGGACGGTAAACAAATCAACGTCGCTTTATCTGTGCGCAATTATATCGCAACGACGAGTCGTCGAGATGAGTTTGTTGATTCGATATAGAATCGTGTGGCAATAATTCCGCGAAAATCGATCGCGAAATACTCGCCTGTCGAGCGAGCGAGCGAGCGCGCGCGCGATGTCACGTTTCGCCGGGAGAGATTTATGCGCCACGCCGACTCCTATCGATCTATCTCTCTAGCGAGAGAGCCGAGCGGCGGCCACAAAAGTGGCCGGAAAGCTGCCCCAGTTACGCGATATTCATTCCGTGCAGTCTGCAATTTTGCGCATTTTGCCGGGTCGCGATTGTGGCAGATTCGCCGCCGCCTTCGCTGCCGGGACAACGCGCGGCTGGACTCTCTTACCTCTCTCTACCTTACCTACCTTACCTACCTACCTACCTACCCACCTACCTACCTATCTACAGCAGAAGTCAGCCGAGCAATCCGGGACCTTGAGAAGTATGCCGTGGCTTCTCCGGCGCGGATAGGCGCGTTTATAAATAGGTCAACAGGAAATTGAGCATGCTCCGTACTGGCTGCGGTGATTCCAACGGCGCAGCAGTGCGCAAACCGTGCGACCTGTGCAACCGACGTAACTCCCCTCGAGGCATTTCTCGGTTGCGAATGTTTTTGGTTTGTTTTATTTTTTTTTCCTTTTTTTTTCTTTTTTTTTTTTTTTACCGTATCCGCTGGTTTCTCCGTGTGTCTTTTGGAAAATGTTGAAAACGGAATTAAGGTTATTTAAACAACGTATTCTCTATTTTCCTTCGCGAGAGATTCCGCGTGTGAGACCTACCAGCTTTGAGCTTTACGGAAATCATTTCGGCACGTGTTATTTTTGTTTTTTTCCTCAGTTCTTTTTATTTTTTCTCTCTCGTTTCTAGACGTAATATTTTTCTAGTTTTGCCCGCACAGATGTGTTGCATAGCGCACTGCTCTCTGTTTGAGAGCATCGTCGGCGAGACCCTCGTTTAAAAATAAAATATCGTGGTCCTCGATATTATCTAGGGTGGGATCGATCCCACGTTTGTGCCACGTACGTCAAATTGTACTTACCGACGCTTATACCGAACACGGCTATTAGGCAAATGAAAGGTTAATAATCAGGTCAAAAGCGGCAATTTGCTGATACAATTGTTTTTTTTTTTTATTTAAAAAATTTTTTTTATTACATGTCACTTCTCGTGACATGTGCAGATTTTAGAAAAGACAGAAGTGGTCTAATGTATTTGTTACGTATTATGCGATCGCGTAATTTGTAATAACTCACAAATTTCGAACTGATGGGAAAAAATATTAAAAATTTATTACTTTTACGTATTTTTTCTGAATTTATGTTAAATGTGTCACAGAAAAAAATACATATCAAAATAAAACTTGATAAGAAGCAAGACCTTCATGTGGAGATTTTGAAAAAACAAATTGTTACAATTCGTCAAACAAGATTTTGAAAAAATTTTTGAAAGTTAGTCGCGCAGCCGCCGCGGGGTCACCGGGGGCTCTCGGAGGTCGCGCATTCTTGGCACGATGGGGCAATCGCCGTGCCAAGAGTTTCGCGCAAAGTACTTCCACCAATTTTCTAGTCGGGCATGCGGTTGCATACTTTGATCGCCAACTATGAATAAAACTTGGTGCTTGCTAAGCAAAGTTTGTACCCGAACCGATCGGTACGGCACCTCTGTTATTGTTGCCAAAAAATCAGAATCATTGGAATTTGACCGCAAAGTGAAACAATTTTGCGTGAAAAGTTCGCAATCGGATATCCAGAGCGGAGCTTTGTATCTTTTTTTTTTGCGAAACCTCGTTCTTTGATATTCAAGCTGATCGATCGAGCTGCCCTTTTGCGTGAAATTCCATCATCAGATTTCAACGCGATTTCTCGCTCCGATGAAAGAATTGTGAAACTTTGTAAAATTTGGAGTAACGT